ACTGTAACACGACAACACAACTGTAACACAACTAAACACAACTGTAACAACTACAACACAACTGTAACATGGTAACAAAACTGTAACATGACAACACAACTGTAACACAACTAAACACAACTGTAAAAACTATAACAAAACTGTAACACGACAACACAACTGTAACACAATTAAACACAACTGTAACAACTACAACACAACTGTAACACGACAACACAACTGTAACACAACACCACACAACTACAACACAACTGTAATACGACAACACAACTGTAACAACTACAACACAACTGTAACATGACAACACAACTGTAACACAACACACAACTGTAACACAACACACAACTGTAACACAACTACACTCAGCTACAACACAACTGTAAAACATCTACAACACAAATGTAACACAACTAAACACAACTGTAACAACTACAACACAACTGTAACACGACAACACAACTGTAACACAACACACAACTGTAACACAACTAAACACAACTGTAACAACTACAACACAACTGTAACATGGCAACACAACTGTAACACAACAACACACAACTGTAACACAACTACACACAACTACAACACAACTGTAACATGGCAGCAAAACTGTAACACGACAACACAACTGTAACACAACTAAACACAACTGTAAAAACTACAACACAACTGTAACACGACAACACAACTGTAACACAACACACAACTGTAACACAACTAAACACAACTGTAACAACTACAACACAACTGTAACATGGCAACACAACTGTAACACAACAACTCACAACTGTAATACAACTACACACAACTACAACACAACTGCAACACAACTACACACAACTGTAACATAACTACAACACAACTAACACAACTACACAACTACACAACTACAACACAACTGCAACACAACTACAACACAACTACACACAACTGTAACACAACTACAACACAACTAACACAACTACACAACTACACAACTACAACACAACTGCAACACAACTACACAAAACTGTAACACAACTACAACACAAGTAACACAACTACACAACTACACAACTACAACACAACTGCAACACAACTACACACATTCATTCATTCATTCAACCTTTATTTCTACAGGTAAATCCCATTGAGCCTCGAGGACTCATTTACAAGAGAGACCTGATTTACAGTGGACAGTTCTAAAAAGGCATACAGATTTTTTTTTTTAACAAATAGGATGGCTAAACAAAGAAAAGCAACATCAAAACAGCTAGATTCTAAGACGAATGTATAAAACTAAAAACAGGAACATGTCTGCATTGGTCCCTGCCAGGAGTCCAACAGATTCTTAAAGACACTTAGAGAGGTCAAAGGTCGAGAGCTTCAGATCTTTTTACAAGATATTCCAGGAAACAGGAGCGGAGTAGGAGAAGGTCCTTTTGTCTAGTTCAGTCCTCACTGAGGGAACACTGCAGGTAATGATGTCCTGAGAGCGCACGCTGTAGCTGCACTCACACAGAGACATGTAGGAGGAGATGTATGAAGGCAGCAGACCAGGAAGTGATTTAAAGATGAAAATGTACCAGTGAGAGAGTCTGCGTGAAGTTAATGGTGACCAGTTAACCAGTGGATACTGGGTGCAGTGGTGGGTACGATAGTTACAGCCAGTTATGAATCTTAGTGCACCATGATAGACAGCATCCAACATCTGCAGCATCCAACATCTG